CAACCAAAAAAATTGAGGTGGAATGCAAAGGAGAATCATTGAATCTGGGCGATGTTTTCTTATTGGATTGCGGTTTAAAAATATATGTTTGGATGCCGCCTAAAAGTGGAAGACTTGAAAAAATAAAAGTAAGCTAAACTTTCTGAAGTGGAAAATATCATACTAGAAATGGGTGAATTAAATTGGCTAATGCAAATAGCTTCTTCAAAATTTCAATTATGTTAATTTGTATCGTAGGATGAATTTTAGGGAATGGATCATGCAAGAAGTATTCGAGATCAGGAACGAATCGGAAAACCTAGTATAATAGTTCTCGGTAAGGATGCATGCTATACGATCTCATTAATTTAATATGAATTATATTTAAAAAAAAAACATAATTCTTCTAAACTAAAAGATTCGAAGTTTCAAATCATCATGAATGAAATTTTGAATTGACAGTTTACCACTGCTAAAAATGTGATGATGGCCTTAGTAAGGAAACCGTTGGCTATCAGTATTTTAAGGTTATCGATAAGATTTATTTTTTAATTTTTTTTGTCCATTAATCGAATGATATTTGATGATCTTTTTTTGGTTGGTTATGGTAACTGAATGATTGTGTAAATTAAGCAAAATTATGAATAAAGCGAAAAACAACATAAAAACATTCCCTACAATATATTTTTTTTAAACAAAAAAAAATTTTTTGTTTACTAACGAGAAAAAAATTTTCAATAGAAAATTGATAGAAAATTTAATAGAAAATTAAAACGATGTAATCTGAAAGTTATAAAGCATAAAAACAGTTTGGCAGAAGTTAGAAAGCTGTTCAAATTTTTGTTGAACAACATTTGATTAAAATTAAAATAACATTTGTTTTTATAAATTCAAGAGTCAGTTATGTTTGTTGTTAGATAATTTCACAAACAAAAATGATTTTTCAGATTCTGATTGGGATAAGAATGATGAATTCTGGAAGATTTTGGGTGGTAAGGAAAAGGTCAAACCAGCAGAGGCCGGTGGAGAGGATCAAGATTACTGGCATACTACTAACAAACAGCTGATCCTTTGGAGGTTTTTCAGTTGGCTAATGCTCTTGGCTTAATTATTTAGAGTCCTATAAATTATTAATTATTAAATAATTAATTAGAATAGACTTGAAGCTTTTATATACGAAATTATATTTTCTTTAAATCAAGACATAGGTTTAAAATTTCAGAAAAACTCCAGGAAAAATTTGAAGAACAAAACTGAATTTATGAAGTCTTATAGTGTTGAAATAACTTAACAGATGATATCAATGGAAATAAATTGTAGAGTATCGGATGAATTGGGGAAGATGAATATCCAGATGGTTTCGCAAGGAAATTTTCAGTACAGTCAACTCGAGTCAAAGGTTAATCAGTGTTTTTTCCTAACTAACATCCATCCTATGCTACATCACTTGCAATCATATAAGTTAAGTGCATAATATATTCAACTTTTGGTAAATTAATTTCTCCTAAGTTTAACATTAATCGAACATTTAGGATGCTTTCATTTTGGATGCCTATAATGGTGGAATATATGTTTGGATTGGAAAAAATTGCACAATAAACGAACGAAAAAAAGCTATGGCATATGCGACCGAATATATCGAATCGAAGGTGAATTCTACAAACAAAAAATAAATTTAAAATATAATTTTTTTTTTTGGGAAAATATGGAAGAGTGTTACATGTAATAATGAAAAATAATTTATAAAAACAATTTCAGCAATTGCTTAAAATTATTTTTGTGGAATCATTTGTAGTTTTTGATTGTTCCTATTCCCGTAATTTTTAAACCCGAGTTCATGTTAAGATATTTTCAAGAAATTTCATCTTTATAATTTGCTTATTATCTCCTTATCATCATTATCTCTCTCTCTCTCTCTCTCCCTGCATGACATATTTTTTAGGGAAAGTCAAAAAATACACAGGTAGTGCGAGTTTTGGAAGGTGCCGAGCCGATAGCATTTACCCAATGGGCCACTTCTTGGGAAAGTCCCAAGAAGACGCCGCCCTTCATCCCTAAATTATATCAGTGCAGTGATCAGAATGGCAGGCTAACTATTGAAGAAATTTATAATTACACGCAAAAGGTAATTCGATTCCAGGGAATAAGTACTATGAGATGAACTTGAAGATATATTAGAAAAATTGCAAAAATCAAATATCAATTTCGTTTTTAAATGAATTAAATTACTTTAAAAACATGGAAAATTTGCAATTATATCAATTTGCAATATTTTTAACAACATATGAAAATTTATTCTTTCTATTGGAAATATTTTGGGTTGTATTCATTTGCAATTAATTCTGTTTATGTCTTCTCGTTAAAATTATAATCTTAAAAATGAAGTAGAAATATTGAAAAAGAAGTTTTTAGGATTTGGATGGTGATGATGTGATGATTTTGGATGCAATGAACGTGATTTATGTCTGGATTGGTGCAGGTGCTAATGAGGAGGAAAAAAAGCTTGCTAATAACGTCGCCAATGTTTGCTTATAATTGTTTCAAGCCTTTTTTGCAATTCAAAAAACTCTTGAAATAATGCTAAAAATTATTACTTTATAATTCGTAAAATGTATTGCTTCCAAAAATCTCCAGATTAAAGTTTTCAGATACAACTAGTTAAGTGCTCTTGAACTGGTAATTAGAGACGATATTAATTACTTGAGAGAAAATATAGCAACAGGAAAATGAAGAATGATTTATGAAATCAGTTCATCTATTCTAATTTCTTTTGCAAATTATCTCTCTTATTTTAGTTATTCAGATAATTTTTAGCTTCAAAAATTGTGATTAAGCATAAAATGATCATATCACAAAAATTTCGTACAAATCAAGCAATACAATACCAAGGATTTGGCTAACTAAAAATCTCACTAAAGCAACTTGGCCACTAACTGCTTTTTAGCCCTCTAGAGTAACTGTACAGTTGTAATTAAAAACTACTTAAGCGGATTTGAAACAGACTTAATTTGTAATACATTAATCGATCTGCGACCACGTCTCATATATTGTTGACTTAGCAGATTACTTTGCATGACTCTAATATTCCTTCCAGATAAAATGATTTTAATTCGAGATAAACTTTTTCTAACAAGTAAAGTTTTTCTTTTTTGCAGAAATATTTGCAAGGTGACACACTTCCACGTCCGGCAGGAGCTCAAATTGTAATGGTAATGCAAGGTAAAGAAACACCTGACTTCAAGAAAATCTTCGATAACTGGGATGATCATATCGCTGTGAGATATTTTATTAATTCTGATTAATTATTAATTTTTTTTACAGAAATAATCATTAAAAATTGTTACTCCACTGAGAGAAATTATATAATTTGTTTTTAAAATAGAAGTTTTACAAACGTTTTAAATTCAAAAATTATAACAATGTGTGTGTTTAGGTTGGTCGAACTGTGGAGGACACGAAGAAGAATTTATAATTCAAATGCAGTTTCATCTTAATTAGTCGTAACAATATTAAATACTGTAGTATAAAGGTTTTTTGTAACAACGCTTTTTGACTTCTATTACTTTTCAATTCAATACTCATTTATTATATCTTGCAAATCATTTTTCACTGTCTTAAAAACCAAATATGCTTAGTAAATATTATGTGACGAATTATGACAATATTGTAAATCACGCAAAAATTAATTTTTCTGGACTTAGTTACTTTTTAACTCTCACTATTAGTTGTGGCTTAATTCAACTTTTTGAGCACATAGTTTTTTTGAAATTATTGAAACTGTCACAAAAATTCAGACTGTAACAAAAAATTCATATAATTTTTCGAAATTACTGGAATTTTCAAAAATTGGGTTATGAGAAGTTGTATTTTGATGAAAAGGGCCTTCTTCCGTATTTGTGATTATATTCTTTTTCTCCTGTTGACGAATATCATTTATGTCTACCACAAGTAATGACGTGATATCACGTCCAATAGATTTCGAACTTTCATTTAATCCATTTTGATCAAGGTGACCTAAGTAAGTTATCAGTTGGACAATACATGAAAATAGCATTTTAAGATTAGAGAGTCTCATAAAAAAGAAAAGTGAGTTGAAGGTGAAAAAAAGATTGTTGAAAAGGTGAAAAAAAAGATTAATTGTTGATAATATTGGAAAATTTAAAGTTCTGAAAGATATATTTTGAACCTTTTAAAATATCAAACACAATGAGCACATTGCTGCTGAAACTTTAAATATTGTTATTTACCGTGATGTCGTCATCTTTTACACAACTGATAAACAGCTCTCAAAAGATTGAAAATTCTTCAGGAAATAATTTTTCACAAAATCATATCGATCAAATTTTTTAGATTCATCTTATTTGTCAAACGAAAAAATGTGTTAGAAAACGAAGAACGATATTCATTCGTTTAGCTTTTGGAAAATTAGAACTGTCAAATTAGCTAACAAATTTCAGGAGGAAGTAGCATTTACTGAGATATCATGAAATTCTTTTCACAGTTCGTCGAAATGAGAATATTTCAGCACCAAGGTGTTTTCTATTTTATTCCATTTCACATTTAAACAAATGTATAAAATTTTTTAAAATTCGAAATCTATATTTCATAATAATATTATATCACAAATGCTAAAATTTAGAGCAGATAAATTAGAGAATTATAGATTTCTGCTCATCGACTATTTCACTAATATCAATTAACTTACAGCATCCTGAATTTTGCAGTTTTAAAAAAAGGAATAATCGAATCACTGACAGTAACAAATTACATTACAAATTACTGACATAATAAAGACTGAAGAAATATTTCAAATAGCATTTTTGGGTTATTTTAATGTGATTTGCTACTGAGCCAATTAATAAGACAAGTTTAAAAATCTGGCTTAGCGTAAACATCCGAAAGTGTAAAGTAAAATTTTACTTCGAAACATGATATGGCGTCTCGAATATGTTCATGCATCGACCTGCTGAATATTCAATATTCTTTGAAATCGTCTTATTTTTCATTTCAGAATATCAATGAGGAATAGAATACGGCTCTACAGACTATTTCGTTTTGTAATATTCTTCACATTTATTATTTGTATATTAATGTTTGTTTTTGAAAAGTTTGACAATCAAATTTATTTTATGAATTAAAAAATCTAAAATGCAAAGAAACTGACAATTCCTACTAATCAAAAGGAAATTGCATCGATCGATTTTTAAGCTAAATATAATTCAGAAGGTTTGACATCAACTTTATACTTAATTGCAATATGTCAAAAATTTGTGCAAATATTGGTATACGATATAGAAATTATCGAATTGCGTATTATTCAGTGAGAAACTTCAATAATATTAATAATTTTGTGTAATGCTTTATTCAATATTACATGCAAAGCAGAAATTGCAAAATAAAAATTTGATCATTCAAAAATTTTCCCAACTTTGCATAATTAAATTTTCATTTAGATGTATAGCAGTTATGCATATATCATTTAATTTCACTATTAAATATATACAACCTGCGAATCGAATTTATATCGCAAAGCCTACATTCAGTGCCCAAATTGTATGTATAATTTGCATAAAATTTTTCTAAATGAATTTGAAAATAATCATACAATGTTTTTCTATTTCAGAAACTATCGAATATGAGAAAATAGTATTAATTAGGTTAATTTATAAGTTTACTTATTTTTGTTTGATTGTTGCGTACATTTTATTAGCAATATCTTTTAACTATTAAAATTTTATAACAGTTGATGAAATGTCTTAGCTGTTTCACGTGTGTATTTTGTAGATTGGAAACAAGTGTAATTTTTATCGTTGTTAATTATAAGGAATGAATATACTTCTCATGGAATATCAATGGCTCTCGATTTTGCTTTTTTGTTCATTTTTTTGCTATTTTATTTACTTCTAAGTGAGTAAATTATGTGACAAATGGAAATTTGTTTTTATTATGGTTTTTATATAATTAAATCAAGGAGTTCAAATTTTTGGTTTAAATTGTTAAATGGGAAGTTTGTATCTTTGTGTTTACATCAAAAAAATGACAATGAGAATTTAACTTTATGTTCTAAAGGTTAGTGTAAAAAATTTAACCTTTTTTCTTTTGCTGATCCGTATAATTGCTCTATCATATTATTTAATTCATTATTTTTCACCAATTCAGTACATCTTTTCCATTTCATTACATTGTTCCCCAACTGGAAATTTAATCTTTAAAATTTAATTTATCATATCACTAATTCTGCTGTTATTTCTCAACATTTTACATCGCAGTCTTTTCAAAAATGTGATCTCTATACCTTCATGCTAACTTTCCATTATTCCTTATTCCTCTACACATTAATTGGTTCATCTGAATGCCCTAATTGACCTTTATATCATCTGATCTTCCACCATACAGCAATAAAATATAATTATTTACATGTCTTTTTTTAAATCAGATTTGATCCTCCTTGTTATTATCAATCACTCTGGTAACCACAAATAATATAGCAAAATTGAAAAGAATAAGGAATTGAATATTACGATATAGCAAGTATATATGTTAGCAAATTATGTTAATAACTTATTAAATTTTTACAAGCATTAATAATTGGATCGTTGCATTAATTTATATAATTGCCACATTGATGGAATTAAAGTTTGAATATTAAACGATTATTGCAATTACAGTGGAAATAGGCTCAAAATCATCTAAAGTGTCATCAACCTTGATCGATGCTGCTGGAACATTGTTGAAAAATGATCCACAAAAATTTATGCATACGGTAGATGATGTTCAACGAATTATGCAGTGTTTGTTTTGCTGAAAATTACACGGAAAGAATAAAGAACCAAGCAATTTGGTATTATGGTCCGCTAAAACAGAGAAGATCGTAAAAATGAATTAATGAAACGACTCTGAAAAGTCTAAAATAATCTTTTTATTTTAAATGTTAAATTGCTAATTGCATTAATAATTTATGAAATTACGGATATGAAGATAAATTAGAAATAATGTTGAATGATGAGACAAAAAATATTTGGAAGCCAAGAAATGATAAAGAAAAAACACTTTGTAAATCAATAACTTAATTAATTAAATTTATGGCTGAACAAATTGACAATCAAATATTTTTGAAATTTATGCAAAAGAATTTGACATTGATACTTTGTAAAATTTAATGAATAATGATAAAATTATTAAAAAAAGTAATATAAATAGCCTCAGAATTTAAGCAAAGATTAGATAAAATCAGAGGGATTAATTGCAAAGTAAAAAGGAAAAGATCTGATCGATAGATGTATTAAATGGTTGGTAGAGATTTATCGTACAGAAATGATTTTGAAGATTGTTACCACCATGTAAGGTAACAAAATTATTCATACTTTAAGTCTTACAAACTAAGATTGTATAGTAATATCTAATTATCTTGATTATTAGAATGCATCAACAAGGTTGCTTCAAAAAATTGATGTAAATATTGTTTGGCAATGAATTAGCATTGCTTTCTGACTAAGAAGCATTTATATATGTAGCAATCGATAATACAGTAATGAATTCCACCATTACGGTAATTATTATTCTAATTATGTAATAAAAAACAAAAAATCCAAGAAGAGAATATTAATGATATTCGATAAAAATTCGAGCCTAATGTAGATCTTAGACTGTTTTAAAAAAATGATCAAATTATTAGGCAGTGACTATTACAATTAAATTTAAAAATTTTTTTCATTTTAGAATTTGTGGATGCATATTTGAATCTTTTAGTTAAGTTTTCAAATTTTATTCACATCAAAAATTATAAAACTCATTTTGATGCAAAATTTAAGCAAATTTTTTAATCAGATTGGAATTTATAAAGTGACAAAAACTTTTAATTTAAATTTTACGGAATTTTATTTTCTGATCTATTAAGCAAATTTATAAATGCTGTTCAGATGGATAAATCGATTGTCGAACAAAATTGACCATTAAAAAACGAATTTTTTTGCATGCGAGAAAAAGGAACACAATTTTGAGTCGAGAAACATTCGAAAATTTCAAAATGTATTTTCTGAAGTTTTTTTCTCAATTTCTTTAGTTAAATTATCATAGCAAAGTCATGCAAACAAATGTTTGAGAGAACTTTCAAAAAAAATTTCGAAGTACAGTGAAAATTATAGTTTCCAGTTTTTGCTTTTTGGATGATCAACGATTCAAAAGCGAAGTGGAATGAAAAATAAAAACAAAAAATCAAGTCTACTTTACTGGGAATTAAATAGTTTTCAATTTAAATTTTACAGAATTTTATTTCTGATCTATTAAACCAATTTATAAATGC